TTTTCGAAAACTATAAACCTAATTGTCCTGCTGTAATAACTGGCATTAATATTACTAATGACTTTACATCTTCAGTTCTAATGTCATCAGTTCATTCATCATCAGTATCACTCACATCAACAGTATTGACTACTCCATCAATGATGTCTGTACCTTTTATAATAACTACTTCATCAGTAGTAACTACTTCATCAGTAGTAACTACTTCATCAGTTTCAGCTACTTCATTATCTAATTCAATTACTTCATCAATGACGTCCTTACCAACAAAAATCCCTACTTTGGTTGTACCAACTTCATCAATAATGTCTGAATTTGAAACATATCCTTCATCAGTGCAAACTATTTCAACTACTTCAACAGTACAACTAGTTACAAGTAGCTCCATCATAAGCAGTACTACAGATACTCCTACCATCAGTAGCTCTACTTCTATTCGTACCACTAGATCAACTAGTACATTAGTGACAGGTACAGTGTATGTTCATTTGTGTAGTTATAATGTACTTTATTGTACTTCAACTGCTTCATCCCCATTAATTCTAGTAACTTCTTCCCTAACTTTTTCATTCATTACTCGTTCACCCTTATCTTCCTTATCCTCAACTTCTTCTTCTTCATCACTATCTTTTTCATCCACGACTTCACAAACTTCTTCATTCATAACTTCTTCTTCAGCCCCAACTCTTTCATTGGCAACTCTTTCATCCATATCTTCTTCTTCATTTATAATTCTACCTTCGTTCATAGCTTCTTCATCTACCGTAATCCCAACATTATCTATATCTTCTTCATCAATTATTGGGCTGGCTTCTGGGGCATCAGTTCCACTACTAATTATAATAATTGGTATGTACAGTATAATCAAATGTTGTCATTAATATGTACATTGTAGTTGTTATAGTAATTGTAGTGGTAGCAGCAACAGTTCGATTCAAAAAGAGAAGAGGAAGAATGGAAGTGATTAATGATATTACATTACTAAAGGGGAATGAAAATAATAATCAAAGTATTGCAATTTATTTATTTATATAAAACTTTTATTGTATTACAGATTCACAAGAGCAAGAACTATCATCAGTTAATCCACAGTATGAGAATGTGCATCTACCAGTTCCACAATCAGAACTATCAATGGAAGAATGTGCTGCTTATGGTGTAGTGGAAGGTACTAGATTCCCACAGTATGAGACTGTAGATCTACCAGCTCCACAGTCAGAGGGAGACTATGAACTACCAGTAAAAGAATGTGCTGCTTATGGTGTAGTAGAGAGTGCTGGATTCCCACAGTATGAGACTGTAACATTATCAGTTCCTCAGTCAGAACTATCAATGGAAGAGTGTGCTGCTTATGGTGTAGTAGAGGGTAATAGACTTTAGAGTTAGTGTGTGTACTGGACTGGATTTAGTAAATTTTAACAATTAAAAAAATTCATTCAAAAATTTTAATACCATTGTAAACATTACTATATATGGTTAGTTTCCACATAGAATAGTAATATTAGGGTAAGTCAAAATGAAGTACTTATTGATATTAATTCTTGCACTAATACAGAGTGTGCTGCTTATGGTGTAGTAGGAGGTAGTAGATAAGTACATATCAAACTACCAGTCTGAGAAATTGTAATTAAGAAAATTGCATGCATACATAATGAGGTATGTAGGATGTAAAGCCACACCTTTACAACATTAATGTCAAATTGCATGGTTGGTTCACTGAACATGATGGCCTTTGTTGCTGCTGTAATGATTCTCTGCCAAATTTGCTTTTCTGGTAAGTTCTAATTTTTA